GTGCCAATGGGGCGTCAGTACTTGGCATAGTACCCTAGATGTGATAGATACAAAAAAGACAGTGAGCTATGAACTGTAGCACATATGGAATGAGTAGCACCAATACATGTAGATAAGGAAGACCCGCAAAACACACATATAAAAAGAGGAAAGAAAAAACTATGAAAATAAAAATGGGAAAAAAATGGTGTCGCAAAAGGCAGGCACCAGGACTCTGATAAACCTATCAGCATATTTTAAAACTTCCTTTTTCCTAAATCCCAACTCCTTGCAACCGCATTATGGAAAAAAAAACAGATACAATAGAACCCCACTCCTTATATCTTAGAGTGATCAAGCTGTGTATATGTAAATACAGTATTATTCACTAACAAATGGGCCGAACAAGCCGCACTGAATTAGGGAAATAATTGAACGCAATTGAAAAAAGAAAAGAAAAAATGTTAGATTTCCAAGGCAACAAAGAATGTTACGCTTTTTTTTTTTTTTTTTAATCCTGACCCAAATCCTGGACGAATTTAGCCGCGGCCGACGGGAGCCACTTCTTATCTCCGTTCGGGAGTGTGATGCGCAACTTCGCAGGAAATAGCAACGCCGGCTTATATCCTCGCTTGTACAGTTCAGTCATGGCACCACTGTATTCGCCGCGCTGTTTCACAACCTCTGGACTATAGTCATCATAGAAGCGGATCCTATGCCCCTGATAAGACAGTGCGCCCCTCTTGCGGGCTTCGCGGATAATCAGGTCTTTCTCTTGGAATCTATGGAAGCGCAGGATGACAGGGCGAGGACGGGATCCCGGGGCGGGCTTGGGGGCCAGGGTGCGGTGCGCTCGATCCATCTCAGGAGAGGAAGGGATCGTATCCTTACCGAAGACTTCAGTCAAAAGCTTTGAGAAAAACGAGGATGGCCGGGGACCTTCTATATCTTCTGGTAAACCGACAATGCGAATGTTTTGGCGCCTGCTGCGCCCCTCCAGATCCACCACCTTAGCTCTCAGTGTCTCATTTTCTTTTTGAAGATTAGCACACACTTTCTCCACCTGCAGCAAGCGCGCGTCATTAGCAGTTGTATTACCTTCCAATGAGCAAATACGCTGACCGTGATCTGTCATAGTAGAGTTGATGCTGTCCAGTGTGGAGTTCAGAGACTCAAAAGACAACTTGAACTCCGCAGACAGGGCCTCTTGATGACTGCTAAGGAGCGAGCTAATGTCCGCGAATGTTATGCTAGCAGTAGCCGGCGGCGCATCTCTTTCTCGTTCAGAGGATTTTCCTTTGGTCGTGGACATGACGAAGTAAGTTTGAAAGAAATATTAACAACAACAACAAAAAAAAATCTTTATAAAGGAGATGGGGTTCTAAGAAGGTATAAAAAGCACAAATGTAGCAGCAGTCCAAACGTGCGTCTACTCCTGACGCATTCCACCCGGAAGTCCTGATTTCATTCGTTAATCATTGTTTTGATGACTTCCTTCATGCAACTAGATGAGTTTATGGCTATTTACTTTGTCTTCCTATTTGTGGGCATAAAAACCCAGATAGCACACGATGTTAAATCAACGTTGAAAAATAGTTAGAATCGTTGATTTTTGGTTGA